CCCACACCCACACCCACACCCACACCCACACCCACACCCACACCCACACCCACACCCACACCCACACCCACACCCACACCCACACACACACACACACGTCATGCTACGTTATTGTTATGTTCTCTTGCACTTGCAAACACGAACTTATGTCAAAAAACGAAGTAGTTTTGGAGATTTTCAAAACCCTATTTTTCACGTCAACATGAGAAAATGACGTTTCGCTGTAGCGAAAACGACATTTTTGTTGATGAAAAACTCCTAAAACCATACGGCCGTCTATGGGTCGGGAACCTTGTAGTTTGACCGCTAGCTTTTGAATTTTCAGCATCTTCCAGTATCGCTGACTGGTTTCATTTGTACGCTACTTAACAGAATCATTTCACGTTGGGATGACAAACTCCCATGCGACTTGCGATTCCTGCATGCCATGTATGCTGGCATGGTGGCAACGCTTCCCAATGTGTTTGTCCCCTCAGGCCACGTTTCGACTGGGTTGGGGACTAAGACGTTCACTGAAGCATGGCATGGGTTGGAAGACGTTGGCATCCAATCGCGACCTCCAAATCTTCACTTTGTCACGAGGTCTATGATCAAGCTGTAACCTGTACTCATGACAAGTTGAATGGCGTGTTGAAGACTCAGCTGGTCCGGACGCCTGTGCTGTTTGGTGAGGTCTCCTTTGTGAACAACGTCTAAGTGCCTTCACAATGGATAATTTAGTCCGCAGAAGATGTCACAAGTTCGTTTCGCACCATGCCCAGGATGTTTGGCATTGTCCCAAGACCAACGGTACGCAGCATATCTTGCGTGCGTCCAGCCACATTGTGGATACCAATGCCAGGCCCCTCGGTGTGCCAGTGGGGTGTGGACAAGTCATTGGTTACCATTGGTATCATTGGTTATCCAATGGTTTTCCAATGCTTATCCTTATCCAATTGTTATCCAATATATAGTTCTCCAATGGTTTACGAATGGTTAGTCAAGGGTTTCCAATGGTTATCCAATGGTTAGTCAATGGATTTACCTCAATATCCATGGGTTCATGGGTTCCCATTGGTTGCATCATCTGCTTCCCATTGCCAGGCAGTCCATTGCGCGTTGGTACAACAAGTCCTTCTTGGCGCCAAAGCCTCGGGTTGAAGGATTCACTGCACTAGGTCACTAAATCTGGTAAGTCATTTTACATAGATTGATACACTACAGATGTAGATTTATCTTGATTTCTGATTTATAGCCATAGTCATAGTGCGATTTTCATATGTTGTCAGTGTAGTATTGTTGTATATTGACACTATATTGACACACTGAGTCTCTAAATCAATGCTTTGGCACGCAAACAGAAAGGGGACTGAGTAGGGAACGAGTACATCATGTAGCAGGAAAGGTCAAACTGAACCAGTGGCAAGCTTCAGTAAGCAAGGCAGCTGTCTGATAGCATCTGTGTGGTAAGAGTGCAGAGGACTACACCCACATGATGGTTTTCTAAAATATGGGTACCCCAAACCCTTGGGTTTCCCATTGGAAACAACCAATTTTAGATGATTTTGGGGTATCCCCATTTTGGGAAACCCCCCAATGGATCCACACATATTTCCACCGGCAACTTGTTGGTCGAATGGCCTTCAGACGCTGACATGTCGGGTACCGCCTCACAGCAAGGCAGTCTGGACAGCTGGTGGATACCCCTGATCCGTTGGCCCGACCGCTAGGCCGGACCGGGACACGTACGGGACTGCAGCTGACGTGGAATGACTTCATTGGGTCGAACAAGACTTCCTGGACCTTGAAAATGACTGAAAGATTGGATTGTCATATGAGGAAATGAGATCAATGACAATGGCATGCATCCTTTTGATTTTTTCAAAAAATAAACGATGATTTGTCAAACTTTGCTTTGGCTGTAAGATTCGCTCGCTCCACTGGTCTCCTGCTGGCACGCTAGGTGGAGGAGTTACTATCAGCCATGATGGCACCACTCGACCAAAGCCAGGGGGACTTGGATTGGCTTCACGATAGCCTTTAAGAGAATACAGAATCTATCGTTGCTATGAGGAGTTATATAACACCTTTTCCAAACTTTTTTTTTGTTGGGTCGCATCCATCACTTTGCGAAAAGGATGACAGGTAAGGACTCCACCCCCCAAACCACAGAAGTTTTGTCAGGCGGCTTCAACGCTGCACAACGGCTCCTGGACAGTTGCAGGCTGCACAACTCATCAAGATGGGTATCTCAAAGATGGGTACCTCACCCACAAAATCTAGGATGTAATCAATTTGCAACAGGGACCGGGAAAAGCATGATACAACTGTTGATCAGCGCTATGCCATTTCAAACAAATCAATTCAGGCAGTCTAGCCGAGCCGGAGCTTTGGTACAATGGTGTACATCATGATATCATGTCACCGAGTTTGAGATTTTCACTTCACTTGGTTTTTGCACCATACCCAAAAGATCCCAAAAGCAAAGGACATGAACGAAACCTTGTGGATCTTTCTTGTAGGTTGAAGGTCCAGTCGTTTTTGGTCTCACTGTTCCCCTCCAGCAATTGGTAACACTCGTTGTCAACTGACTCTGTGTTTGCACGGCCAGCACGAGCAATATCTGCCGCCCTGGATCGAAAAGTCCAAGTATGAGCAGCTTGGATATAAAAATTGTCAAGCAGCATAGGGGTGCTGCCTAAAGATTTTGAGAATGAACACCATTAAAGAAGGTTTCAATTGCGGTCTTTTGGTATTTAAGCATTTTGGCTTCGCAGAAGTGGGGCTAGCTGTGATTTCCTTCCATTGGAATTGCTCTGCTGCTTCTGCCCGTTGTTTCTTATGTTGGACAGCAGATGCCGCCCAAGACATTGCCAACCGACTGAGGCGGGCACTAAGCATGTCACCTCCAAGTTGGGCCGGTGGTGCTTATGCGGCGCGCGGGCACAGCGCTACGCGCGGAATCTCAGGGGATCCTTATGTGGCGGTTTTGAAGGGTGAGGTGGGATGATTATACATTATAATGTTATAATATAACTTATATACATACACACCAATATCATAGATACTATTAGATACCAGTATATTAAGTGGGTACATATGTATATAGAAGTCACCTGGTCCAGTGTATATACATTTGGTTTGTTGAAGAACAACTGGGATGCACTGGAGGAAGAAAGGCAGCGATGAATTGGGATATGCCTTGACTTTGATCGCCGATAATTTGCACGAAGTCAGCTTCACTGATCCTGAACAACGAAGCAATACAAATTCTTTCAACATAGAGTGAGTGTGGCCCTGAGGATTCCGCACCACGCCAAGCGATTTGAACGAGCTGCATCCTTGTCCAGCAGTGGGCTGCCGACTTTCCCTAGAAAATAAGCGGCGCAAACATCCCATGGCTGGAGGTATTTGCTTGCTTGGAGTGGAACACCGGAAAACCACGTTTCCGTTGACAGCAGGATCTCTTGGGACTTTTTTACACAGTGGATCTCTTTGCAAGCAGTAGTTCGAGCAGCAGAAACCAGTTCTTCCATGCCCCAAAGGGGCGAACTGTGCTGCGCGTGTCGAAATTTCGGCAGTTTTGGGATCTCAGGATCACAGACGAGCCGTGCAGGTTGAGGGCCACGCCTTGGCGATTTTCACCCTGAATCTTTCTCGGATATACCGCCAGCAAGGGACATTTTTCTATAGATCGGTCAGGGTGAAGGTTTTGGTGGTTCTTGTCTTGCTCTAACCCCTTCTTTGATAGCAAGAGCATGGGCAAACAGGCATACATACTTGATATATATATATATTCATTCCATATTTGGAGCATTTCCAAGTGATCTTTGTCCCCCCATCCAGTTCCTGTGACACTGCAAGATCATGGCGTCTTGACGTGAGTTTCAAGCTCTCGACCTGCGCGATGAAGCGTCAGTTTACCCCATTGAGTTGGCAAGAATGTGGCAGTGGACAGGATGATAGTCCTTGCAGTTTAGGTTCAAAGATAAGTCAACAGCAGTACAGTCTTGATAATAAACATCTGTAGGAAGTTGAATGGGAAGCATACCCTGCTATTCTTGCCAGGCTTCTTTAAGCTTCTGCCATTTTCTTCCACACGAAGGCCGCCGCGGAAGGATCCCGCGATGGCAGTTTTGTGTGGTGACCGTTGACAGAGACAAAGTCTGCAGCTGGCAGCTTGGATGTGACAGCAGCTCGTGTTCATCTCGATGTGTGTTGTCTCTCTCTCTCTCTCTGTTATGGATCTGACATGACGTATTTCACTGGCAGAATGGGCTGAAGCAAGTTATCACATCTTTGCGTGTTTGTGCAGCGACTGGACCAAGCTCAACTGTTTGCTGTTTGCCGTTCTGTTTGCGAGTTGGAGGTTGTGCAACCATTGAAACCAAAGGCTCCCAACGACGTTGCACCTAGCCGTGGTATGCGTTTGTCCTTCTTAGCCAACAAGCCATGGCAACTGAGTGCTTGGCTACTCAGTCGACGCAGGATCATCCTGTGATCAAACCCTAAGATCAGGAACAAAGATACGAAACCATAACGTTGAAATTTGGGGGGACAGGGGGGACAGGGGGTAGCCTACAACTCATGGATGCGGGGTTTGAATAATTTGCCCATCTACTGTAGGTATAATCACCAATTAACTAACATAATATTTTCTAGGGGGTCGATCACCAATTTGGTGATGTCACCGCCCAGGCGCGAGGGCTTTAAGATCATCTTCCTGCTGCCACCCGGCTACGATTGGATTGTTTTTTCTTTCCTCATGAGATGGGCTCGGGGTTGGGGGTTGGGCTTGGGGGATTGGGGTTGGGGGTTGGGAATTAGTTCCTGCAATTATTTTTTCTCGAGACTTGGAATTTGATACTTGCAAAGAGGTCACAAGCAGTGAGCTACTTCCATTCAGCAGAGTTGGCAGAAGCTTCGAAAGGAGAGTGAAAGTCAATGAAAGTCATATCTGAGAGAGAATGTGATAATGTTACTAAAGCATACTACAGCAATCGTTTTTACCACCCATAGAATTGAATAGAATTCATGGTTTTACCTATATCATTCTATATCAATTTATGGTGATTTTGGGGATGGTTCACCATCCCCAGTCCAAGGCGTCTCTCTCCCCTGCTGCCATTCGCCCTTTCGAACTATGTCTCGTGACCCCAGAGCTCGGCGAAGTGCCAGGCACATCAAGTTCGGATTTGCTGTACACTGACCCTTATTTGATGTCTTGGAAGCATACTTGGAGAATTATCCCAATAGGATATATATATATATACGTATATATATATAGATTATATATATATAGATTATATATATAGATTATATATATAGATTATATATATATATATTAGTATGCAGCTGGTGTTTTTTCCCCCAGCCCGTAATGATCACAGAAAAACAGCCGGGGCTAAGCAGTTGCTGGGCTGATCCTCCAAGGTGTACGGCCTCAGTAGCTGTGGCTTCGGGGACTTCCTCCTGGCCACGGCTTTGGGCTTTGCTCCAGGTGTGAAATCTGCGATTTCCTTGGAGAATCCCATCCCAACATGAAACACATACGAAAGCATCGTTGAATTAGATGTACTGTATACATATTTGGGACAATTTTTTCGGAGATGCTGAATCTTAGGGGGATGGGATTTTGCAATTAATATGTCCTCACGTTAGGTTGTTTGAGAATCATTGGATCAAAGTTTCTAGTTATTCCAGTTCCCATAACTTGGCAGTGCAGATTCCAAGACCCTCGTGACAGTGAAAGTCAGCACTTTCTGCAGGAACCATTGGGCTTGTGTATGCTGCTACCGCAGCTCGCGACGTGATGTCAGATGGCGGCAGCCAACCTTGGTATGTTGGGGTCCCAGCAAAGTTTGCCGCACTTGCACGCCCGGAAATCGGTCGACGAAAACGACATCGGCACGTTTGCTGCTTTGCAGAGCATGAAGCTCCTCTGACTCTAGTCCACAAGGCAAAGAGAAGGTGAGAGCACAGAGTATGAAAAGTGAAAGGAATTGAGTTGTGCTCTTGCAGACGAGTATAGATATATATATATATAAATTACATCTCTTCGCAACATGATGTTCTATAGCTGTCCCTTTTTTCTTTCTCTAGCTGTGTCAAGCTAGGACCCGATTCTCTGCAGCCTGCAATATGATGCAGTCAACATCTAGGCACCCTCCAAGATCCATGAAAGTTTCGTAATTATATTGGATAATCATTGCTAATGTATACTTGTATCATACTGTATCAGATTATTATATATATTAAGGACATGTATTATATTAAGCTGTTGATATGATGAATGATGATTATTATTATGAATCATTGCGCAATAATTTCTCACCTAAGCAGCAAACTCCCAGGTCTATGCAGTCGGGCTTGTCGTCACAGCCGATGACTCAGAATGGCACGGAAGTCATGATGCAGGATTTGCAGTTAAAGGGTTGGCGTCATTTCTCGGGTAGCAGCCTTACAGGTCTGACTCTTTACTACATCGGCTAAAAAGACTTTGCATGACTGCTGGATGGCTTTGGAATGGCAAATTCATGGTCTACGCTGATCCAAGTCCGAAGATCAATCTCATCATGGACTACCTTCAATGATTTTCAATCCTTATTAATTAGATGTTATAATATATATATATGATCATTGATTCATATTGATTCTGTATATATAAACTCATATCAGATCAGATATTCATATTTCTTCAGTATAAACCAGGGCTTTCCCAGCTTCTCCACGCGTTGTTCGACGGCCTTTTCGCGTCCGGTCACCCCAAGGCCGCACTTCTGAAGATCGTCTCCGACGTGGTGTCCCAGGCGGTCAAGGAGGCGGTGGAGGAAGATGCCAAGGCCACCTTCCAGCGCGGGGAATCCCCAATAGCTGGATGATTTATAAGGGAAAATCCGAAGATAATATGGATGATTTAGGGGTACCTCCTATTTTGGGAAACAACCAAATGTATAAATATATCTTATGTAGCTTGTAAATGTACATAAAATCTATGGAATGATTATGTAAATGTATATTATATTATATTATTGTATATTGATATAGATGCAAATCATCTAACATAGATATAGTAGGGTTTCAGTAGGGGTGCATAGTAGAGATAGAGATAATGTGTGTTATATGTGTATATTATGGAGATAGATAGTTATAGTTGTTTTGCTTGCGGGAAAGCTGGCCCAAAATTGATATGTCCTTCATATACCTCAAAATCAAGAATTACTTCAAGTATATCATGTTTAGCTGGCGGTTTGGCCTTGTTTTGAGGTTCCTTTTGTTCCCCCCGAATCAATAAGATTTCCTTCATGTCCAAGATCCGAGCAAATTAGACCATGCCATTTCAGCGGTGCTGGATGTTGCTTGGAAGTCACAGATTTCACATTTTTGGGACACCTATTCCATGATATTGAAAATTGAAAGGGATAAGAAGCATGCATGCTTCCACAACAAGATTCGCAACATAGTTTGCCATGTTCAAGGTCTCCCCTTTCAGACAAGTCCTTTTTTTGGTTGAAGGTAAGCGAATGTTGGAGTTTTTTTTCTCAAGACATGCAATGAGGAAGATGATGAAGATGATGACGACTACGACGATGATGACGACCACGATGATGATGACGAAGATGATGATGATGATGATGATGATGATGATGATGATGGGATGTGTCCAGAGCAGGTCAACGGAAATCGACCGCAGCCATGTCCTTGCAATCATGATGGCATCCTACTTACTAGACGCTAGGAGAAACAAACAGATCCGACAAGACTCTCTAGACTGTAGCTAAAGGATGCCATTTGGGACATTCAGTGGCTTGATGACCATTGAACTTCCTACAACTTGGATATGTGGGGGTTTCCCAAAATGGGGGCACGCATGGGCACGCCTAAAAATCATCCATTTGATTTTCGGATGTTCCATTAGAAATCATCCAGCGGAGTATCACCCATTTATGGAAACCCGGAAACCCCAATTTGTTGGGAGAACATCCACACGGGGAAGCCAGGCAGCTGAAAGCTTAGGTGCGGGGCTGCGCTAAAAGGTGGTCGTTTGTCTAGTCGAGTGGGTTAGGCCACGTTGACGTGCAAAACAATAATTATTAAGTTAGTATATGTAATGTATATGTAATGTATGATATGTACATACATGTGAAAAAACATGTTTAACTACATTCATATGAAAACTAGCTTTCCCCCAATGAAACACAGCCCTCATTAACGTCATAAACCCCAATTTCGTGGTGAATATGTTTCGATTTCCCGTTGGACTCCATCCTCCAGGACGGGTTCAAGTGGTTCAGATTGAGACAGTTGAGACCTTTGAGACGGTCAAGACGGTTGACGTGGAGAGACGCTCGGTTGCAGAGACGCTCAGTGCTTCCAGGTTCGCTTCAGGATGATTTTTTTGGGAAAAATCTGCAGGAAACCATGGGTTGTCCCATTAACAATGGGGTTTTCTTCTAATGATGTTTTCCCTAAAACCCAATCCAATGAATGGCAGTATGAGATGAAGAGTCATAGTAAGAAATCAACCTATCTCAAATAGATCCAAACGTACAAGCAATTGAAATGGGTATTCGTGCGATTGATTCCATGGAGAGTTCCAAATCTTGTTTTGATTTGGAGATTAGCCCTTCTTCAGGGTGAATCCGAAATCTTTCACAACTTGCTCCAGAACCTGTTGACTATTCGGCCGGAGGTTTTTATTATGGTGTTTTTTTTTTCCGTTCCTGCCTGAGGTGGTGGTATCCCATGACTAGTACCTTTTTGGAGAGGTTGAAACCACCAGTTATGTTTGGCAGTGCCTGAGCAGGGGATCTTGCTGATTGTAGCTTATACTGTGGTGTGATCCCTGTCACTTTCAGTCAATAGATGTCAATAGTAAATACTGGTCATACGTCATGTCATGTGGTGCATTGTTTCTCTTCCAAATGAGACACATGATACTTATATATATATACAACATATATATATATATGAAACACACACACACATATATATATATATTAAACATATATATATATATACATATTAACCATATCTAAGTTGACATATATCGACCCCTGAGCCCCACTATGTATAGCATAGGTAGTAGGTCATATGTAGAGCACTGCCGTAGCTATGACATTATGAGTCCATCCAATTCGAAGTAGCTATTCCCATTAATGTAGAGTAGCACCTCATACTTAGAAGCGTTAAGTATGTAGTGTAGCCATAGATTAGAGGGTAGTACTAGGTCCACCCTAACAACCACCTGGGTGTAATTAGTGTGTACCCGATGTCATGGCTCAAGTGCGCAAAAAGGTGGCGTACTTGTTATTTGTTCTTTCATGCAGGGTCTGGTGAATCGGGTTCCCTTCCTTTTGTGGGTTTCCGTTTCTTCCCCCTGTTTGACTGGTTATCAGCCGTAAGGCTTTGTGTTAGGGAACCTATTTCATCGGAACTTGCTTAGGCCCTAACATCACATTCATCTTTTTCGCTGTCACACTTGCATGCCCACAGATACGTCTGAAGAGGTCGCTGACTTGGTCGCGACTGAAGCTCCAGCGGACGAAGGGGAGGAAGCGACGGACGCAGAGAGGGTTGAGCAATCTGTTCCCCAACCTGTGGAAGTTGCGACCGAGCCGTCTCTTGAGGGAACATCTGCAGTAGCTGACACAGATCGAGCCGAAGGACATCTGTTGGAGGTGAAGCAGGAGGAGTTCCGGGAGGCTACATCATTGGGTGCCGTTCTTTCTGTGATTGGAGTGCCAGAAGAGGTCGCTGACGAAGTCGCGACGGACACTGCAGACCAAGCTTTTGATCAGGTTGAGGCTGACCCCAACGAAGTCCCAGCTGAAGCCGCCTTTGCTGATTTAGATCGTGTGAAGGAAGAAGGTCAAGACTGTCCTGCAGGTGAGCCGTCGCCTCTTGCTGAGCAAGCCGATCCAGACGTTGAGACAGCTGATCTTTTAGGTTTAGGTGACGAGGCGGGTCCAGTAGGAGAAGCATCCGTTGCATCCGAACCATCTGCATCCGTGCCTGAGCCTGTGGTCGCTGACACATCCGGTGTCGCGACTGAAGCCAACACTAATTGCCCCGGTGAAATAGTCCCTCCACCAACTAGCCCTAATCTTGTTGAACCCGGCACCGATCCTATCCAGGTAGGTCATTCCCCTGCAACTTCTTCTAATCCCCCAAGGCAAAGGGTTAGATCAAGTCGGGGTGGTGCCACAACCAGGTGGCAAGAAGCAAAGCGAGCTTGGTGGAACGACTTCGAGGCATACCAAAATTGGCTTTATTGGAATTCGGGAGGTGATATTGCAGGTGGCTTTTGGTTAAGAAAGATTTCTTACGAACAAGCCGACGAAAGCATTCGCTGGTTGATAGCTCTTCATTCAAGACTTGTGGAGGAGTTCCCAACATCACAGTGTTTAGCTTTAGCCTACAACATTCTCATCCCCTACAAAGAGTGGGCTCACATTCACGGTTTGGACAGGCGTAGAGGTACTGCCCACGCACAGCAAGTGATTGATTCTGGTGATTTACCTCCAAAAAGGGTTATTAACCAACGAATCTTAGGGGCAGAGCACCCACGCGCAGAAGAGTGGGATATATATTATAGATATATAGGCCCACAGCAGCAGCCCCGGCCAAAGGGGGTTAGGCCAGCTGCCGCAACACCCGTTGCTGGCGCGGCAAGTGGTAGCGCAGATCCAACTCCGGTTGCCAAGCAACCCAAGGAGCCTGGGCACCCACCGCCCAACTGGCAACCCTCATTGAGGGCACCAAACCATCCGGTCCAACCGCCGCGTCCGAGGGTTACTGTCTCTGTCCATCCAGTCCCACAAACCCCAAAGTCAGATTCTCAAGGGGTCGCTGCCTTTGGGCGCGACGTAGCACCAGTCCCAGTAGCTAGCCCTGCTAGGCCACCACCTAAAGCTAGGCCCAAAGCTCCTGATTCTAGTGCCACCACCCTTGCAGATAGAGTTCGTGGTTTGCCACCTCCACCTAATACCATTGCCCCTAGTCCGCCCCCTCATAAACAACCACCTTTACCACCATTACCGCCTCCTCATTCACCACCACCTGGTGATAATTTTCCACCCCCACCATCTCATCCACCGCCAACTGCACAGGAGCTCGCTGCCCGCAGTTCCCAACGCGCAGAGGCGCGAGAAGAGGCTGCTCCAGCGGATCCCAACGATCCACCGCAAGAGGAGCAGGAGCTGAGGTTGAGGTTGAGGCTGAGGCTGAACCCGAATTCCCTGACTTCACAACAACAGAACACGGCCGTAAGGTTTCCACGCGCCGTCGTAGGCCTAAAAGAACTAGGTCCAATCCGCCATTGCCTGTCAATCTAGTCCCAAGGGAAACCCGTGAACGAATTGAACTTAATCAAGAACTTTATAGAGCCCGAGCCATAACCGGTGTTTCTAGAAGACCTCTTGCTTTAAGACCCCAAGTGCACGGTTACCCCGAAATTAGAATTGACTCCGCTGGCACCTGGGCTAGGGTCGCTGATCCTCCGATCGCGTACGCGCCACAGACTTTGCCTTTTATCATCCCTCACGCTGAGGCTCCAGAGCTTAGGGTCAACCCGCACGAGCTTCCCGACTCGTTGTGGCGAGATCCTGCACTTAGATCCCATCGGACGGTTCTTGGTTCAAGTAATTTAGACCCCAATAGTGTCTATAACATTGCCACCAACAACCCCGATACCGAATCTGAAGGCTCTGAAACTGCTGAAACTCGAACCGCCAGGTTTGTATCATCAGCTCAGGCATTTGTCGGCCAGCAAGAACCGTTTGACGCTGGCTTCGTTGAGCGCACCCCTGCCCGTCCAATTGAGTCTCCACCTAAGAGACAACGCCCTAACATAAGAACCTCTCAAATCCAACGTGATAAGCCGGCACAGCCCCGAAAAGATCCAGTTTCTGCTGCACCAACACCACCTACAGCCCCTACAGTACCATCTTTGACTGTTCCCCCATTAAGCAGTTCTAGTAGTTCAGCTTATCCTCCCTGGAGGCAGTCCTTGCAAAGTGCTGGAAGTGGGGTCGCTGACACAGCCCGTGTCGCGACAGAGACTGTATCAGAGCCAGCCGGCTCTCCCGTTGCACGATCCAGATCAAGAGCACCCTCAGCCGAGACTGCGCCTGCAGTTGCTGCCAAAACCAACAGGGGAAGGGAAGTACCAATTTCAAATAAGATCTCATCTAAGTCTCGCAAAAGAGCTAGTTCCGTTCCAGTGCCAAGACGTGCAAAGGGGGCTGCTGTCCCCGACACGCCTCAAAGGCCAGAACCTCTACCGCCAGCTCCAGAGCCTAAGAAGAATCTTCCGTGGAAACATCCACCTGTGGCACCTGTCGCACCTGTGGTAATTCCCCCAAGACCTAATAGGCCAGTTCCCCCTAACCCAGCTAATCTTAAGCCCGTAAAACCTCCTCCGCCAGGAATTGAGAGGGCAAGACCTGCTGGCCAATCGTCCCGAGACTTGCCTCCGCTTGATCCCGAAGGACAGCAGCAACAGCAAGAAGAACAAAGCTCAGGCTCTGGCCTTGCACCCCACGTCCGTGGGCGGCCTTTGCCTGAACCAAACCCAGATCGGCCAGAGGGGGTCGCTGGTACTGTACCGCGACATTACCAACAACAACCCAATTTAGTCTCTAAGGTAGTCCACGTTAGTTCATCCAACGTAGTTGTTTGCATTGACTGGCACGATACCATTGACCAAGCTCTCAACCCCATTGGTGAATTGTCTTCCCATCTAGTTGAAAAGCTTCGTACATTGACTAGGGTTGCTGGTAATCAAATTGAGTTCCATATCGTTTCATACGCCGGCCAATCTAAGATAGAAAGCACTAAAGCTGGTGCTGATCACGTGATTGGCCAATTGGTCGCAGAAAGTTTGCCGTTTAGAGAACTGCACCTTGCCCGCTATCCTTGCGGCAGGCAAGGCAAATCCTCTATCATCTCTGCACTCCAGGCACACTGCCTCGTGGACGACCGGTCCGACATTATAAACGAGTGCAAGCAGCTCGGCATCAAAACCATCCGATCTGAAGGGCGTGCTGATAAGGAGCTGCTGGATCGCTGAATTAGAGGACTGGCTCCGGCACGAGGGCATCAGTTACATGTTGCACGCCCGCCGTCCAGTGCCGCTTAGGGCCAATCAATTCTACCCGAATTTCGGGGGCCAGGACGATCGATCACTTTGGTAGACCCTGGCACAAGTCCAGCGGTTCTACAACATCCGATAGGTGCATCCGAAACGCCGAGGTAGCTGAGCTTGCTCGCTACACTCCGTCGGTCTGTCCCCGTCGTTTGCTGAGTGTCTTTTGTCCCATTGCATTTTGCCTTCTGTTTTTAAGTTCAGTGTTGTTTCTGTGGTCAGAGCTAGGGTCATTACCGCTAGCGA